GTATATATATATGCAGGGTATTTGAGAGACAGTGTGGACCTGGATGACGAGCGCGTGGGATTTGGAAGCTTACAGCCCAAGCAGCCCGGCTACGCATCGGCTACACCCGCGGAAGTGCATATTGCAGGGAACACGCCGAAGGTGCAGAAAGGTACCAGTGATTTACAGTTTCTGCGAGAGAAAATAGACGCCCAGTTCAAATGCTATAGCAATTAGCACGGCGCGCAAGTACCTTTCAAATGTTGGATTTAAAAAACGCAATATCATTTTGCAACTGCATTTTGCATTTTGCAACTGCATGTTATTCCGCCGTGATACAGTGTTCCCGAATTTATCGGGACAGGCCAGAAACCACGAAAATGCCCCGATCAAGCGTTAGTCTCGATTAAGCGGTGGTCCCGATTAAGCAGTGGTTCCGCGTAAAGCGTGAACACATAGCAATGCACATAATGATTGTTTGTTCAAAGACGTCATGTAAGCGATGTGACGTTTATGCGATACCCGATAAAACGGGCCCCTCTGTATTCCTAACGTGCGGCCATGCGCGCACACGCTGAACGTAGCATAGGTACGTGATACACAACCGAGATGAGTTCAGTCAGCACTCACTCGCGCATTTAATCAATGCCTCTGTGTACGCGTGATTAGATTTTATAACATGCCCAGGTAATATCAAGAATTCTATCACAAAGGTCGTTGCTTGTCTTCCACCAGCGCGGCTTATGGGCCGGTCATCGAGCGATGCAGTTACCAAACTGCGTAAGAGCCCAGACGTGCGCCGTCACAACACCAACCCAGAAGACGTGAGGCGACCGGACCCGGAGCTCGTCCGCTCGACGCCGTGTGTCAACCTCGCCTCCATCGATAGCGAGGAAGGACAGCTGGACACGTCATCGCGAGAGTGTGACGACGGCTATATGTATGAGCACGTGCCAAGCACCGAACTTTAGGCTCGCCGGTGACTGCATGTAACCGCTAAAGATTTAGGCAATATCGTAGGTGTTCTTCCAACGATCAAAATATCAACAACATCTCTGTATCAGCAGCAGTAGCTTTGCGTATGTTTGTGAAAAGCATGCACTTGTTCATGTAATAATTAGAAGTTTTGTGCGTAGAATCGAGCTGGCCGGGTTTTCACCAAAAGACGCAATAAGAAAAATAATAGGAGTCTCCGAATTCGTGGGTTTATTAACACATTTCATTATTTATTTTTTAAGCTTGAATTCATAGAACAAATTGTGCATGCATCTTACACAGACAGACATTTATAAAGCATGCGTTTTATGCAAATTTGGCAGTAAGTACAAGTACTGTCACACGCTGTTCATCATTGCCATACGACTACAAAAATATCACCCATTTACATTATCACGTATAATCATGTCACCAGTTGTCTGCTAACTAGATGTAAACAGGTTAGTTATCCTTCTACTTCTAAAATCGACTAACTTTACATGCATATAGCTTCGGGTAATGAGAAAGTATTATCATGACGGGGTGTGAAACGTGAAGGTTTCGTCGTAATTTAATGACCATAGCTAGGGCTCTTCATAAATTGTCACTCACCTCAGTATAATTCAATAAAGGAAATGGACGGATTGATATACACACTTCTATATGATTTATACATAGTTGGACTAGCAGCCTTTTGAAATGGGCGTCGTGATTTGGTGGCCTACAATAACCAGTAGAACATTACCTAGACAAGCACATCTACATTTTAAGAACAGATTTTTATTTTTAAATGTTAAAAACTCACTATCTATAAATTGGGAATATGGGAATTCAATACATTGTAGTTATCAGAATAAAAACTGAATATTTTTTAATAACAGCTTAATTGTACATGCATACAAATTTAAAGACATATAAGGAATGTATACTAACAACAAATATAGGTTCATTCATTCCTGTACTAAGTGGACAGGAAAACGACTCAACCTAAATGACGGGTAACAAGTAACTCACAACAGCATAAAAAATTAGGAGCCAGGAAACACACTGTATGCAATGTCCAGCACATATTGCATTAAGAACCTAGATATTAGTTACGCGGCACATCAACGTGCACTACGCCTTTGCTCTGGAAAAAATCTCATAGCTATAGAGCCGCACAGCAAGATGCCGTATGTAGCGCCACCTAGTAGCGGGAGAGAAACAAGGTTCTCAGTCCGTGCAAGAGTCTGACCAACGACCGCTGACGTTCGCTGCAAGCCAAGTGCACATAACTTCGTCAGAAATAGAGCTTTGCCTATATTCAAAGAATTAATAAATAAGCACACATAAAAAGAGAACATTACACTGAATAATTAACTGAACAAGTAAAAAAAGCTTTATGTAAACTGATATATTAAGTGTGAAACCATTGCTGGTCAATCTATATGCAGATCAATGGCCATGCAGGTAGGCGTTCTCGTTTCGACACGATAGACAAGGGAGAGAAGACACCTGTGCACCTACCAACATGTTTAAGAGAAGTTGACCTGGTTATGTCGGCTGTAAGCATTCCAGAATAAACTGCAAGACCATAGCCGATTGGCAGATGGGTAATGGCTACATCCAAGACACCACCGTTGACATGCCATGCCTGAAAACAACATAGAAACACGTACAATGTATAGAACATATTTGGCTTAATATAAATATTCTTGCACTCTTGCACTTGGAAGGCAGATGCAATTGAAGCCTTGCACATTTTTTAAATCGAGAAATCAGTGTGTTATCAATTTTTCAAACGACTATAATATTACCATAAAACCAGTCTCGGTTTATCCCATTTCCATATCCATACATGCTGATTTATAAAACTACCTTTAACTGCCAAAGCATGGTCCCACACACCAATTACAACAAACCAAGCTTGAAGAGTAACGTAAAATACTCTATTGCATGTCGTCATGATTGTAATGCAGAACTAGCATAGATTTGCTGCTCTGCACACACCTAGTATACATGATGAATAAATCTAACTGTATTGAATACATTCGCAAGTTTTTAACCTATAAACAACTTGTTTATGTGTTAACTGTAGCCACGTCACGTTTGTAATGACTATTTTAACTAATTTTGATATTATTTTAGTCAATAAACGTACTGTCAGTTTTTATTAAATAAGATTAAGGTAGACAATTATTTATGCCACTAATTATTATTATACAATTTTTTCTAGTTAATTTGGCAATATAGATACCAAATGCTATTGATTGTAGCCGATTGTAGTATATGTTCATCTTTAGATTGTAATGTCCGCCCAAATCAAATGTTCATTTTACGTACAGTAGTGCACTCTAGGGAACAAGATGTGCCCATAGATTTATGTATATTTCTACTGCCAGCCATAATCTGAATATAAATAGCCACGTTTTTGATCATGGAATATAATAATACAATTTAAATCACACTGTAATATGTACGTCTTTAATCAGTATACTACGTTAATATAATAAGATCGGCACCTACAGCACATTACTACATCTTCAATATTTTCCGTTGGAATCAAAGAAGCTTGTCTGGTTACTTTTTCCATGTATACTTGCACATGAAAACACTGTAGGCTATATGGTTATCGTTGGCCCGAGTTATTTTGTATCAAGTGCATTGATGTGTGTCAGGAATAAATGACTATAACAGATAGTTACCATCCTGATGAAGGTACACAGCAACAAAATATAGGAAGTATCCACGATGCTCCTCTCACCAACTATAATAGCCAGCATAGGAAGTGTTGATGTCGCTATCTATAGCAATAGATTGTAGTAAAATATGTATGACAAGGATAAATTGATATATATGCAATAACAATAAGTGCTGCATGCACACACCAATACACAGACACTTGTGGAGCCCTGACTATTTAGCACACCATTACTTAGTCAACAATCAAGGACAATAATTAATTAAGGCTTCTCGCCACCCTGTCTGTTGTTTCATTTAGTATTTTCTATGTTGTGGTGATATCTAAGGTATAAAGTGTTGAAATAAACTTTCATGGATCATGTTTTGCATGGAATAAATGAGTTAAACAGGGCCCCTCAATCACACACTGATAACGCAAATTTAACTATCGCACTGGTATCTATGTGAGAACAGTAAATAATAACAAGAGTAGATAATAACCAATGTCTCATATGGTAATGGTTAACTTACCACAAACACGAAACGGTGGCACGAAAGTAGCCAGGAAATAACACCAGGTTCCAGATCATAGTGATGATAGCAGAATACTGGAAATGTTACTAATGCCAGCAGGATGGGAAATTCTGTAACCTGTTTCAGTGCCAGATTACTAAAGGCAGTCGTTGTATTTGGCTGTACTGAAACAGCAAATAATAATGTGGTAACCTTTTAATCATTTTCAAAGATGATGTGAACAAAAATAAACAAGCTGAGTCACAATATGCTTTTATAACTATAACACAATTATTAATCTTATAACTTATGTGGCTGCAAAAAAACCTTGCATTGTTTTTGGTTTAGAGCATATCTCACGAGAGTAGAGTCATAGAGTAAAAACCATACTTCAGGGGTGTATCCAGGATTTTTTCTGGGTGGGTCGTGATCATAATTTTTTGGACCTTTTCACAATGAAATAACAGCAAGATGTGATTAAAATGTCAATACAATTTAATTAAAACAAAAAAATTTTGTTAAAAAAAAAATTTATCAGGTTTTTAAAACAAAAATTTGAAGTTTTTTGATCAGTTTTTTGAAAAAAGTTTTCTGACTCAGTTGAAAACAATTTTTTGAACTCTTTGTCTTGTCTTTGTCTTGATCTTGTCTTGTCTTTGTCTTTGTCAGTCTTTGTCTCTTTTTTAACTCATTTTTTTTAAACAAAAGATTTTGTTTAAAAAAAAGGCTCAGTTTCAGAATTGCTGGAATTGGGATAGATTTACGTCACGCAATTGGCAATGTCTTTGGACTCATTACTGGTACCTGATCAATTATGCTTTTTCATTTATGTCATTGTGAAAAGGCCCTCGAAAAAAATGTCTTTGGAAAAAATGTGGACCTTTTAAAATTTTGGGGGGGTCGTACGACCCTCACGACCCCCCCTGCATACACCCATGTACTTACTAACTGAAAATCAAAGTTGTCTGCTGAGCAGTGCTGCCACAGCAAAAGATATTTTTACCCAGTTGATGAGGCCAGTATATCAGATCTGGTAGAGTGTAAAACTAGCTAAAACTAGCTAAAACTATAGCTCCTGCTGCATTTCTTAATTTCCTGCCAAATCTCATAACAATTAATCTTAGACATATATTATATAATAGAACCGATTTAAGTGTCAATTAATTTGTTACCAGTTGGTTTGGCTATATTGTTGTTTGAATGCCATGAATTTCAGTCAATCACTCTGGATTCCGATTATGTGTGGGAAACTGTGATTAGTGACGAGGGTTATTGGATGTTTGACGCAATGTCTAAGTTATAGTTTATTAATCGAGACTATAGTAGGTATAATGAATTCTCTCCCTAGAAATAAAATGTGGAAGACTTACCCTAATATTATTTACTCTTGATTTAACATATAAAAAACAATTTTTGCCTCGTTGTTTGGGCAACACTGAGTTTTGTTGACCTCAAAAATCAATGTTACTTTCGGCCTGCATCACTCTTGGGTAAAATAGATTTTCTCAGTCCAGCAAACTCCAACTTTATCTTGCAACTAGACAATAATTGTATAGTAATAATACCTATAGTTATATGTATCAAAAGTCATTAGGACTTATATTAATTTTCTTATGTTTTCAATGATATATGACTTTACTTACCCTGAGTTTGATCATTGTAATGCCCTTTTTTTCTATTTAGATATGGCAGAAATACCACAGTTAGCACAAGGCTCATTGCAGACACAATAGCAGCCACTTGTGCCATGGGTATGTTTGACCTAAAGATACAACACCACTAGCAATGTCACACTGGAATTAATTTTATAATTTTCTAGGGCTTAAATTCTAATGTAACATTTAAGTCAGCATAAGGCCAGAGCCAGGACAACACAAGCCAGAGTCAAGCATTTAAATACGTGATTGTTTTATTACAATGCACATGCACTCATGCTAGCTTGATGAGATGATAATAGCAACATAAAGGGCTGCCATTGCAGAATGTTACAATTGACTGAGTTACTGTCATGTACAATTATCGTCTACAGCACCCTATTAGTTGACTCAGGAGTTTCTTTAGATATGGCCCAGCGTAGATGGCGGATGAGTAGGCAGCATTCACCCAGCACAATGAAGTCAGCTGCATTCCACTAGTGGTCATTCGAGCAGCAATCACCTGTAATGCTGCACAAACAAGCAAAGTATACTGTGCTATCTAATGACGACTAGCTGCACACGTTCACATGAACACACATTCAACGCGAGGTTTAATTTAAATTTAAATGCTTACATATGTGATATAACCTTATTATCCCTAGTTTATTTAATTACAGGTTAACTCAAAGTTGCTTCTATATGTTAATTGTTGACACATTACAGTTATTACATATTTATATTAATTTTATTATTATTATTATTATCATTATTTTTTATCAATATTCTCAATCTTAGTATTGTTGTTTTACCTTGTCTCCTCTTTTACGTATACGATACAGCATCTGCCATAAACAATGTATAATATTTACCTATTGCCAAAAGTAATTCGTGTGCAAAAGCTGAGAAAAATATAGCACATGATACAAATTAATCCACAGCATTCAATAATTATCTAAAACATAAAGAATGGCACACGCATTACCAACATGACCATTTTGAAGTGCTGAGAGGTATCTGAAGATGTCTGCCATGCTGTTAGGTTCTGTGATAACTTGAAGGGTTGCACCAATGAGCACAGATAAAACTGAGATGATAAAGCTCCAGTAGCTTCCCAAGACATCAATAAGGCTACAAAATTAAAAACACCTATAATTGGAACATGTAACTGTTTACGCACAGATATTTCACATAGCGTTGTTGCTCGCAACTCAGTTGGCCTAGTGTAAGAAGCAAATCTACTTGCTTTAAATTAATTCAGCTTGCGAGGTGAATCATGTTATGATAATACATTGTTGGCAACCTAGCTAACTTCTTATTTATAATAGATACATCATGATCTTATTATTAATTGTGTTATATTAATTAACACAGTATCATTAATGATTTGCCACTCTTCTGTGTGTATTCTGTTCTCGTGTGTCCTGCGTAACTAGTTACAACAAATATCGTAATCCTAAGTAAGCAAACCTTTAGGTGACATGGAACACTAATTGCAATTCAGTGCAATATGTACCTGCCATATAAGAGGAATATCAAGATGGGAGCAAAATATCGAATGCTACTCCATAAGGGTCTGTCTTCCAGAATCTGCAAAGCAAAGCTGTCACGTCAGTCTCACAAATGTAGCAATACTGCAGTGTATAGCAGGTCTTTATCCCTAATATTAACCAAATTAGTGAATTATCCATTACATCCAGCCCATTATATATTTTCTCTAACCAGTAGAGTTAATATATATAGAGTTAACCTATACTGGTTACTTAGTTAGCTCTACAGTTACAAGTTTTTATGCAACATGAAAATGTTAACCGACACTATAGTATAGAGCCCAGGTAACATTTTGACGACGAAAGTGTCTGAAAGGCAAAAGCCAAACTTTAGCTAGAACTAGAATCATTTCTGAACGTTCAAACATTGCAAAAAATGATAACTGGTAACAACAACAAGAAAAACCACCATCTATACCTAGCTATAGTAATCATAATCAGGGGCGGATCCAGAGGGTTTGGGTGACCAGTTTCCATATGTTCTTCTGCAGCTAGGGGGGTCCGGGGAATTTTTTTAAAATTAGGCTATATATTTGGTGCATTCTGGTGAATTTTGAGGCCTGTGACCGGTTTCTGGAAACCGGTGCAATCCGGCCTAAATCCGCGCCTGATAATCATATTTGTATTAATAACGATAATAGTAAGAATTTACAAGAATAATGAACAAAGAACAACGCATGACATGCGTGCATGGACTTGCCTTGGCTGGCACGAAATGTGTTCCTTCCGATTCGCTTAACTGAATAGAGGTTGTGTACAGAAAACATATAACAGGAACAATGAAGATGATAACGGGAATATCTTGCCACACTTGTCGCCCGGCTGTATTGGAATATGAATGCGATACATCATTTTTTAGAGTTCCTGCGAGTGAATTTGGTGGAAATTGGGTACGACTTGTGTGAACTCCTGAGCGTAGCCTCATTATCACAATTTACACGTATATACTAACATGTGCCTATTTTACAGATATAAATTTAAAACTGTGTAGGATGTAGCTGTGTGGAATGTAGCTTCGTTGTACACAGACAATTCACTCCTCGTTAGAACTGGGTTCAATTCTCAAAGATACACAGTCACTCAACAGCTACTGGCAGCTGCCATGTTTAATAATCACAATTTTGAGAATCGGCAGAAAATCTTCTTCGGAACTCTCGATCTTATGTGAACCAACTGTATGCCGTCACTGAACACTATTATATATTGTGCAGTACGTTCTTAGACACAGAATTAAGTGGTTGTCAAAAATGCGCTTAAACTCAATATTAACACAGGCAACTTTCCGTTATGCAGACAAACAACATCTCATGGTGTATGATTAAAAGATGGCGCCACCAGTTTACGCACGGTCACGACATCCGGGTACCCTGGGTCTGCCGTGCGTACACTGAGTACACAGTGTACGCACGGCAGACCCAGGGTACCCGGATGCGGTCACGATGGAAATAAAAATAGAAAGAGGATAACCGATAACCATTTATCTATGGTCTAGATAACCAGGTTATCTATACTATTTCTATGCCACTAACAGAGCACGTATATTGATCATATGATATACGTGCCCTGCCACTAAATTGTATATGCGATATAATAATATCCTAAATCAATAAATCAATTAATCAAATAATCAATTAATCAATAATAATCATTATATATGACAATATGTGAGATATGCGAGATATGGGAGATATTGCGCATGCGCGCGCACCGTTTTAGGCGTGCAGTGCCGTCTGAGGCTATAACTTCATAATATAGATTGCTGAGGGGGAGAGGGGATGAGAGCAGTGGCGTAGCTAGGATTTTTCAGCGAGGGGGGGGCACTGGGGGCCTTACATTTTCGTGGGGGAGGGACAATATATAATTTTACTGAGATGTGGTTCGAAACCCTCTTTCTTTGTATATATACTGTTCTAAACGGCATTGTTTTAATTCAATTTTTTTTTATCAAGCATGAATTTTTAGGGGGGGGCACCTGGGGGAAGGGGCACAAAAAATTTGTGTGGGGGAGGGGCACGTGCCGCCCCCCCAGACCCCCCCGTAGCTACGCCCCTGGATGAGAGACTGAGGAAATGCGGCCGGGAAGATAGCTGGGGCGGTAGAAGAAGAAGAAAGCTGAGCGAGGGACAGGGGAGGCAAGGGGAAGGACGCGAGGGCATAAAGTATGTGTTTTGTACCCTACATGCTAGGGCGCTTTCCTAATTATAAACACAGGTCTACTGACAAATGTTTATGAGGGAGATCTATGCTGAGATACCCCCTAACCATTTTAAATACATATTCATCACAAAATATAACTACTCTGGTGAGATATTGCGCATGCTCTAACACACTGACGTATCCAGATTGTGTACTGGCTGGTATACGCAGCGGGGACTTTACATGCACGGTCTTCCTCCTATTTCTTAAATGGTGTCTATTGATGGAATGTTATCATATAAATCTGTGCTAGGATAACTCCTCTTCATTTTAAATGCATAATCTTTGCAAAATACGATTTCTCTCGGGAGATATTGCGCATGCGCGCGCACCGTTTTAGGCGTGCAGTGCCGTCTGAGGCAAACTTCATAATATAGCTTGCTGAGGGGGAGAGGGGATGGGAGACTGAGGAAATGCGGCAGGGAAGATAGCTGGGGGCGGTAGAAGAAGAATGAGCCTGAGCGAGGGACAGGGGAAGCAAGGGGAGGACGCGAGGGCATAAAGTAGATGTTTCGTACCCTACATGCTAGAGCGCTCTCCTAATTATAAACACATGTCACCTGATAAAAGTTTATAAGGGAGAGCTATGCTGAGATACACCCTAACCATTTTAAATACATATTCATCACAAAATATAACTTTTCTGGTGAGATATTGCGCATGCTCTAACACACTAACGTAGCCAGATTGTGTACTGGCTTGTATACGCAGCCGGGACCTTACATGCAAGGACTTCCTCCTATTTCTTAAATGATGTCTACAGACGGAATGTTATTATATAAATCAATGCTAGAATGACTCCTCTTAATTTTAAATGCATAATCTTTGCAAAATACGGTTTCTCTCGGGAGATATTGCGCATGCGCGCGCACCGTTTTAGGCATGCAGTGCCGTCTGAGGCAAACTTCATAATATAGCTTGCAGAGGGGGAGAGGGAATGGGAGACTGAGAAAATGCGGCAGGAAAGATAGCTGGGGCGGTAGAAGAAGAAGAAGGCTGAGCGAAAGACAGGGGAGGCAAGGAAAAGGATGCGAAGGCATAAAGTAGGTGTTTTGTACCCTACATGCTATGG